CCCAGCCCCTTTATTTCTTCTTTTGAGACAGGATCTTGCTAAGTTGCCAAGGCTGGCCTTGAACTTGTGATCCCCCTGCCTCAGCCACATCCCACCCCCCAGGAACCTGGGATTACAGACCAGCACCACCCTGCCCAGCTGTCCTGCCTCTCGCTCCTCTGGATTCTGGACTTGTGGAAGCCACCATGGAGGTAGGGCGTGGCGTGATGTGCACTATGCGCCTCTGCCGAATCCTACTCCGCTCAGGCCACGTAGCAAAGGTCCCAGGACACACCGGGAAGGGCTGCCTTGCAGAACTGGGAACTATTAAATCCTACTAATGCTTCGTTTGGGCTGTGATCCAACACAAGTTCTGAATCTCACCAGCAGAGAGAGCCCTAAAGTCAGAATGATCTGGAAGTGGTGGAAATACCATGTTGAGAGTTTGGGGCAATCTTGTATCTCAACAATTTTCAATTTCCCACCTAAAAGTTTTCCTCACAAATTTAAATAGCCACAAAGAATGCAACTGGGAGGTTGGTGTAAATATTAATATTTTAAAATAACTATTTTGTTACCCTTGGATATGTGTTCAGTGATATCTAGATGCATAGCAATTTAATTCCCACCATTTAAAACTATCTAAGTTCTTTAACCATCTCCCTTTTTTTCATAAATCTGTCTTTCCATCCACTTCCCTCATAAAATTTTACCCTAATATACATTACATTTGAAAGTCTTATGAATTATCCCCATCATACTTTTAGCAACAAAATATGTTTCTAAGCCAGGCCTGGTGGCACATAATCCCAATGGCTTGGGAGGCTGAGGCAGGAGGATCATAAGTTTAAGGCTAGCCTCAGCAACCTAGTGAGGCCCTGAGCACTCCTGGGTTCAACCAAGCATCGCCAAAAGTAAATAAATAAATAACATATACCGGTTTGAATGTTATAATTTGTAATTTAAGGAAATGGTATCCTATGATCAGAGGTTTCTAAATGCTGAAAAGTTTCTTTGGTTAGAATTTTTCACTGCCATTATTAGTAACATATTAGTAATACATTGGGTTAACATATTAGTATTTAGTATATTAGTAGACAGTATCCCATGTTAGTAATATATTTGATTAAAACCATATAAATATGTGACAGATTTTAATAAATAATTGTAATAGTAAGTTTTTATGGGTCCTGCAGGGTGTTTTGGGGTTTATTTTTTGTTTTGGTCCTGCAGCTCTTAATGAGGTGAAGGAAGTTTTTATTGTGCTGGAATAAGGTGCATTATTACACCAGTTCTGCTTCTCCTTTTGTTATCGTTACAGATGTGGTGGTGAGAAGTGTTTTTCACACAGGTAAGTTGAAGAGAACAGAAGGTATTTTGGGGGGGTATGGCAGACTGAACTCAGGGGCACTCACCCTCTGAGCCATATCCCTATTTTGCATTTTATTTAGAGACAGGGTCTCACTGAGTTGCTTAGCACCTTGCTTTTGCTGAAGCTGGCTTTGAACTTGCGATCCTCCTGCCTCAGTCTCCTGAGCTGCTGGGATCACAGGCGTGCACCACTGCGCCCGGCGGAATGGAAGCTTTTTTACAGCAGTGCCATACAATTTTTTGCACCCTTACATGTCAAAAGTCATACCATGATCCACTGTTACCCCGTGTATATACATATTTTTTTTCTTTTTCCTTTTTCTCTGTGCCTGGGATGGAACCCAGGCACATGCTAAGCGCATGCTCTGCCACTGAGCGACACCAACAGCCATTAGCAATACTTTTTGATGATTGGCTGAAGGCCAGTTCTTGCTGCTCCTCTTGGTTGGGTGTGGTTAGCCCAGCATCAATCCTGCTCTCCGGAGACTTCCACTGGTCACGTGTGCCTCCTCCTCTGCCAGCTGCTTCCCTCTGGGAGGAAGCACGTGCGGGCAGAAGGCTCGGGGTCTGCTGCACTCCTGTCCATTCCACGCCGTGCAAAGAAAGCTCCACAAAATGCTCAAACCCACTTTTCCAGGCCAGGTTTTGTTTAGCGGCAGCCGTACTGTCTCGCACCTGTCGGTTCATAAACCTGTTCGTGCAGACCCCTGGCTTCTGTTCAGGTGACCCCTGTGATGTGGTGGGCTGGGCGGCTCTTCCCAGGAAGGCCGGGGTGGTTGGTCTGTGGCACAATCAGGGAGCAGGAACAGAAGTGAGCAGGTGTGCAAGCTGCTGGTGCCAGGGACAACAAGTTGCTTCTGCTAAGGAACTCAAGGCCAGTTCCCGCCAGGTCCTGCTGGGTCACCAAAGCCAGGCAGGGACTGACTGCCACTCTTCCTATTCTTCCCATATAAACCGTCACAAAAGATCCTCCGTTCCTTGAGATTCCTGACTCCGATCCTTGACCCCTAAAGGCCCAACTCAGACACAAACTTTCACAGAGAAGGAAAGAGGAGTAGCGAACGTCAGGGGAGCCTCCCGACCAGCACCGCGAGAACCCGGATGGCTTTGCCAGCTCCTGCTCCCCTGCCTCCTCCTCCTTCCTTTTCTTCTCTCCCCTTCCTCCTTTCCTCCTCTCCCTCCCACTCCTCCCTCTTTTGTCTTTGAAAAAGGCAGGTGGTCGGTGGGGTCGAGAAAAGGATTTCTCCGTGGGCACCGAGAGTCCTGGAGATTCGTACCTTCGGTCCACTCATTCTTCTTAGGATCCTTAGTTTGAGGACATCCAGAGCAACTTAGCAGGACACCATCTCAAAATAAAAGGAGGTCTGGGGATGTAACTCAGCGCTAGAGAGCTTGCCTCACGTGCTTGTGACCTGGCGGTCCCTACTAGTGCCAATAAAAAGAAAGAAAAAGAAATCACTTTAAACCTCCATCCTTGTTTCAGTCAGTTTTTCCACCCTGTGATCAGAAGACCCAACAAGAACATTCAGAAGAGGGCAGTTCTGCAGGGGCCATGGTTTCAGAGGTCTCAGCCCAGAGAGGGCCAACTCCATCCTTCGGGGCCCAAGGTGAGGCAGAACATCGAGGCAGAGGAGTGTGGGGGAGGCAAGCAGCGCAGGACATGGCACCAGAAGCAGAGAGAGACCCTCCTCCTGCAGCCACAGCCTCCCTGCCTACAGTTACCACTCAGTTAATTCCTATCCGCGCATTGACGCACTGATTAGGTTACGGCTGTCGTAACAGGAGCTTCTGGGGGACATCTTACACCTAAACCATAGCACTTTATTGTCCTGCGTCTCTGTTCCAGCAGGCAAGTTTGTATTCTATGAAAATTTAAATGGCCAATGATATGTCCACCTGGTGAGACATTAGGCAGCTGTTGAAATTTTGTTCATGGAGGTATGAAGTAATATTTAGAAACAATATGTCTTAATTTTTTAAGAGGAACAAAGTTGCCCATTAGGATGATGATTATTTAAGAAGAACTCTTATTAGAAAACTCCAGAAAGCCTCACATAAACATGCTCGTCATGGTTCTAGGTGAGGTAATGAAACACTGGGAGATGCACATTCATTCTCTCATTTTATTATCTGAAAACATGGGCTGAGACTCAGCTCAGGGCGGAGCCCTTGTCTAATTGATGCGTGCAAGGTCCTGGTTTCCATTTCCAGCACCGAAAAGAAAAAGTCTTAATAATGGAAAAATAAGGAAAAAAGTCATCCGATAGTATCCCCCAAGCTATTCAGGCAGTCTCCCCCTGGTGCAGCAGGTGAGATGGGCTCTGGCTGGTGGACAGGGAAGCTGCTCTCCAGCTCTCACCTGAGGCTACAAGACCATGATACTGACAGCAATTCTGACACTAACATGCACCTCTCAGACCCACTCCTTGGTGGGTGACACACTGGGCACCTGCCACGTCAGGGTGAAGTCTAGTGGCTTCATCAGTTCAGTGATCAGTGCCTTCAAGACAAGTAGGCACGACTGGGGGAAGAGGCAGGATGCAGAGGGGGAAAGAAGGGGACATAGCAAGAGATCATGGGCTACAGCGGCACCTCGGGTGACTTCTGGTTGACCCAGGTGCTACTGGTTGCCTGTTCTACGTTCATCTCCACTTCCTTGTCAGGGGGTAAGATCACCAGGGGTTGCTTTGTTTTGCTTTAGGGGATGGGAAATGATTTCCCAAGGTCTCTTGCAGCCAGGAATGGCTCCTGGGCTTTGTTCTGGGCAGTCAGATGTGGGAGGAAGTTGAAGGGGTGGGGCTTCTAGACAAGCCATTATTTTTCTGATGAAGATGGACAGACTTGTTTGCCACAAGTTTTCCCTTCTTTGTTCTTGCCCCGTCTTGTCTGGACCACAAGCAGAACGCTGGAGACGCAGTGGCCAGCTTTTGTCCAAGACATGGAAGCCTGAAAAGATGAGCGTATCAGGGTTCCCAGAGAGACGGCCAGCGGAGCAGGTGAGAAGGGGGCTCTAGGAGGAATTGGTTCACTTGAACACGGAGGCTGACCTGTGCCCGAACGGGCGGGTAGGCCCGCGGCCAGCTGAATGGTGGAGAACCACCCTAAGGTGGAGTCCAGGAGAGTCCAGGAGAGTCCAGGAGAGTCCGAGTCAGGGAAGCTGACACTGCAGCCCCGTCTGGGGCCAAAGGCCTGAGCCCCAGGGCGGCCCGGCCAGGTTCCAGAGTCCAAAGCTGAAGAACCTGGAGTTCTGATGCCCAAGGGCAGGAGCAGAGCATCCCTCCTGCTCTGAAAGGGAGAGTGAGAGCAGAGACCCTCAGGCTATGACCTGGGTGCTCGTCCCCTCTAAAACTCGGACACTTGGTAACAGAGTGGAGCAGGGGCCTGAGGAAGGTGATCAGGATCAGCTGAGGCCTCAGGACGAGGCCCCCCTGGTGGCTTCTGAACTGGCATGCTTGCTCTGTCTCACCACACGAACCCTGAGCCTTCTCAGGACTCGGCATAGTCAGCAAGAAGGCTCCTGCCAGATGTGACCCCTCAACCTTGAACCTCCACCCCAGGGTTTGTTCTTTCTAAATCAGGGAGTCTCTGACATTCAGCTCCAGCCACAGAGCAGAGTGAGGTGCCTGACCGCCTTCTCACTTTCCCACTGGGCACCCAGCTGGTGGGATGGCACCTGCCCACACTAGGGCAGCTCCGCCCCACGCGGTCCATCAACGCACACTCATGCTTCTCTGGAAACCCGCTGAAGCCGCACCCAGAAACCGCTTCCCAGCCATCTGGGTATGTCCCAGTCTAGTCAAGTTGACACCCAAGATTAACCATCATGGTAAAGTTCTGGGAGAAAAGCAGAATCTTGATTCTCATTCTGATGTAAAAGTGAACTTGTGTTAAAGCTTGTATTTAACTCCTGAGGAAAACAGGATCTGGAGTCAAGGGAAGTGGAAAAGAGGCCAAAGTGGCTTTTCCAGGGGTGGCAGAGAGACCTCTGGTCTCTACCTAAAAGGGCAGAATCTGCACATTTGTAGGCTGAAGGCTGTGGAACAGAAGCTGCAGGGAACCTCCCTTCTCACAACTGTTCCCTCCTGCCCTCCTGCCATGTGGCCACCTGGAGCTTGTGTCATGGCAGTGGGACAAAGTGGAAGCCCAGGCCTCAGCCAGAGGGAAGGCAGGAAGGGAAACTGGGGAGAGCCCAGAAGGGACTCACACTGGCCCCCACCTGGAGCGGAACTGCTGTCCCCAGTCCTGAGTCTCAGGATCTCGTGGGAAATACAACCCCCAGGGAAAAAAAGGAGAGCTACAGGCCCAGGGAACTGCCCTTACCTACAACTGTTCCCCTGCCACCTCTGCCCCCGCCCTAATGCGCCCACCACCAGCGACTGACAGAGTTCCTCCTAGGACCTGGCCCCGAGAGACCCTATAAAACCCAGACCCTGGTTGTAGCCCAGCGCCATTTTCTCCTTGAAAATGTGCCCCTCTATTGTTTAATTAGCATCACGGATCCCTTGGGGTCTATCTCTATTTCTTTCTCTGTTTTCTCCCTCATTTGCTTTCATTTTGTGCCCAACCTGGGAGTTCAGGGCTCTTTACCCCTCCCGTCCTAACAAACCTCTACCTCTTTTTCATATTTCTCTCCCACTTCTCTCTCTCTCCACCTTATACTCAAAGGTTAATGACAGTCATGTTTAAACGGCTGATGAGACGTGGAAAGTGACCGCTGATCATCAGCAGTTCTGATTAGCATGGCTGAATTCCCAGACGGACTGTCCCCTCCCCTTTCTACATTACACTCAAAGAAGGAGGACCGTCCTGCTCTCCATGTCCACTATAGCTCAACGGTGGCCAGGACACAACCTGAAATCAACCCCAGTCCTGGGATAGATCTTTGCTGCCTTGCTGCCACGGAGATAGAGCAAGGACCCATATCGGGTCCTTTGTGGTGGTGTAGGCATCCTCCTTCTAACCCTGTCTGCGCCACTTCCTTCCTTCCCTCTGGATTCAGACCTCCGGGTCAGAGGCTGCCTTCCGCCACTTTGTTCCCGTACGCAACACCACCCTTCTCATTCTTCAGGGCGGTCACATCCCTTCCAGTCTCCCTTCAGAGGTGCCCTGCCCAAGACCCTGGCCTTCTGGCTCATCTGGACCTGAGGGGGTCTTCCACCAATGGGGTTTCAGGGCGGCACGCCCTCTCATTCTCCAGTGGAACTCTGTCCAGGACGGGAGTCATCAAGGGACATGTCGATGTAGCCCCTACCCTGGTCAAACTGCCCCACATGGGGGCAAACAGTCATCCTAGGGGATCCCCCTTAGGTTGTCTCATTAAAAAAAACTGTACCCAGATCTGGCCACAGTCTAAATTAGATCACCTGAGTCGATAGCCCAAATTCAGAATTTGGAACCTCTGACCCCCAAATCCTCCAAGACTTAGACAATTCCTCCAACGAAATGGCAAATGGCCTGAGGTTCCTTACCTCCAAGCTTGCTGCTCAAAGCCCTCATTATGCCAACCTGGCTCTGCTTACAATTAATTCTTGCCGACTCCCATTTCCTGAAACCCCCTAGATCAAGTCCTGACCCCCATCCCTCCTCCTCATTTATTGCCTTCGAAATAGCAGATGAACCCCCACCTTACAAAACCAAGGGGCCTTCTGCCCCCTCATCTCAGCCCCCTCCCCAAGCCCTGAATCCCCACTCCCCACATCTCCACCTCCCACCACATGGCCTGAAACTCTTCTTCCAAAGCTTGTTTCCCCTTTGGAAAGTAGCCGAGACTGTGGGGTCCATGTTCCCTTTTCTTATTTTCAAAATGGAGGGCAGATTTGGCTCATTTTCTGAAAATTCTAGTAAGTTCAGGAAGGATTCATAAGTCTGACTCAGGCCTATCACCTTACTTGGGCAGATGTTCACTATATTCTCACTTCCAGCTTGACCCCAGTGAACATGCCCATATTTGGCAAGCTGATCTCCTCCATGCTGGCCTTCTCCATACCCCAAACTCTTCACCTGGCAAGGAAAAAAACAACAGAAAAATCTGTCTCAATTAGAGTAAAACTACTGCTCATCTGTCCTAGTTCAGGAATACAAATTATTTATTTTCTCCAGTGGGGATATCACCCAGAGCACTAACAGGCTTGCCTCCCACTTCAAATCGAGGAGAATAATATGAAATCGTGGTCTTATGAATATGAGGACCCAAAGGACAAAGGGAAAATGTAATTTTAAGGGCACAACTAGCTGGCAAATGTCCTCCCTTAAATTAAAATAGTTTTCAAGAAGTTAATTAGTGCCAGGACTAGTGGCA